GTGATTCTGCAGGTTCCTTGGAATAAAAGGAGGGACTGTAACAAGAGACTGACTTTTTGGTTTTCTCTTTCAAAATAACCTGCACACACACTCCCACTTCATTTCTGTTCCTCTCATTTCATCAGTGCATTTGGGAACCATTCTACAGGAAAGGGCAAAAAGCCATCTGCTTCCTGAGATTCATATTATGGGATGTTTGAGTGTTAAAATGAGCATCCGGCACGTTCATTTTGACCCACTCTTGAATCTTCAGACCGAGAAAAAGAAAGATTTTGTTTCTCCAGACAGATTTAATGAGTTAACTCATGATGTCACCTGACTGGATTTATCATGCTAATCTGTTCATTGCTTTTTTTTTTTCATTAACTGTATCCAAGTTCTTTGTTCATGTGATCAGAAGCACAATTAGCTATGATGCAGGTTGTGAGTAGTTTTGAAAACAATAAACACATCATCTGTCAGCATGCACTTATTTGTTTCTCCTCCGGGTCAGATGAAGAATGCATAAGCAATTATCTCATTCTTCAAACTGTAATTTGATATTTGATATGAAATTTAAAAACCATAATTGTTCTTCCTCTTGTTTTCGACCAGATGTCAATGCATGCGATGTAAAACAGTCCTAAGAATCACAGACTTTCGTCCTGTTAAGTATGCTTGCATCATGGTTATTTGCCGCCAGGTCGCATACAGGCTAATGTTATTGACTGATTTGAGATTACGATCGTTGACAGGTGAAGTGGAAGCAAATTCGTTTTTTGTTCTCCAGAGCAAGTGCCCCAACTTGTTCTACTGAAAACCTGTTCAATGCCCCTCGAGTTTTCCTCCGCCCTGTGTGTTTTCGATTTGAGACTGTTACTGTAGTGCAGACGGAGCTCAGTGTCAAGCACAAGGTGCTCTGGGAAAACACAGGAAGTGTGCGAGGCTTGTCGTAATGTCATCTTGTCACACAGAGAGCGTTTCTGCATTCGTATTTAACTGTTGCACTCTTTTATTTAACTGTTCTGAGTCACAGTAAACATGCTCAAGTTAAAAGTAGTTCTGTCATGACAACTCTCGGAGGGATTGGCATGGTAATGTACATGACAATGTTAAAGGGGTCATAGGATGCTCCATCTAGAGTTTCATGCCAGAACTTTGTAGTTCAAGTTTGTTCAAAAAGTTGTTGTTTCACTGCCCTGCAACATCAAAAATAGGCTAATAACTACAGAAGCCCATTCTGCCATGGAATTTAAATAAATAACTAACTAAATAAATAAAGGAGCTAATTGTGGCATTTTATCTTCACAGTTTGGACTTTGCGGAGAAAAAAAAGTCTCAAATGAGATATAAACTCAGAATTCTGACTTTTTGTCTTGCAATTTCAAGTTTACATCTCACTTTTCTGACTTTTTTAAAAATTTTTTACTGAATTCTGAGTTTACATCTCGCAATTCTATGTTGTTTTATTTCCGCCATGGAATAAACAATAAAAAGGTAATTGTGAATTTTTTTCTCGCAATTCTCAGTTTATATCTTGCATTTCTGATTTTCATGAAAAAAAATCTAAATTGTAAGAAATAAATTCAGAATTGCGATTTAAAAAGTCAGAATTGTGAGATTAAATCAGAAGTTCCTTTTTATTTATTTTTATTGCTTGATGGAAATGTGCTTCCATAAATAACACATTTTAACATAGAAGAATAATTAAAATGCAGTGAAGTAGAACCCACGTTCTGAGGAACATTGTGTCTCAGACAAAACTGGTTTCCTCATCGACTGGGTTTGTTTTTGGCTGTCACTGGGGTCAAGGCAACAGGCCAGATGAGTTTACCTTTTGTAAATGAGTAATCCTTATTACAAACCCACATTCATTTACTGTAAATCACTGCGGTTAAATGCAGAGAAATAAACACGGTATTGTGGATGACCTCTTTATACTACAAATCCCTCCCCCACCGTCTCTTCTCACATTCAAACTCAATTAAGACAAACATCAGTTTATCCCTTATTTTTTCTTGTTTTTTTCTATTTCTATTATATTATTTTCTTCTAGTATAATTTTATTATTGTTTACAAAAGTGTTCCAAGCATAATCTGAGCAGAAATCAGTCACGATGCCAAGTAATGTAAAAAAAAAAAAAACATGTCACATGACTGACCAGTAAATTCATCTCTGTGAGTTACAAACCCACATTCATTTACTGTAAATCACTGCGGTTAAATGCAGAGAAATAAACACGGTATTGTGGATGACCTCTTTATACTACAAATCCCTCCCCCACCGTCTCTTCTCACATTCAAACTCAATTAAAACAAACATCAGTTTATCCCTTATTTTTTCTTGTTTTTTTCTATTTCTATTATATTATTTTCTTCTAGTATAATTTTATTATTGTTTACAAAAGTGTTCCAAGCATAATCTGAGCAGAAATCAGTCACGATGCCAAGTAATGTAAAAAAAAAAAAAACATGTCACATGACTGACCAGTAAATTCATCTCTGTGAGTGATATAGCCAGATTCTCTGCTAGCTTTAATATTTTCACCATGCCGTCTGTGTACTCTGTTTGGAATTGAACTAAACTTCGCTACCGGACGATCTTAATCTTCTCTTGAGGCATTGCCCGAGGAAACTATTATTTATAATCTTCTTGTGCAAGTCACATGAGGGCATTTAATGTCTCAGAGAGATTTCAGCGCTCAATCTGCATGTGCATGTGCATTTGTGTCATAGCGATTACAGAGCTTTACTCTGTGTATTTTGAAACATTCATCCTTCCAAGTGTTCATTCTGACTATGAAACATCCATCCTTTTTTTTAAATAATATAGTTTGGTTTTGGTATAGTTTTGCTTGTGTGCTCTCTCAAAACCTTTCTATATTGCATATATATATATTGTATAGCTTCTTGGCTCATTTCCCTGACATGCACTGTCATGACACCTTTCATTCCTTTTCCATACAAACATGTTTATAATTTGACCTGTATTTTTTTATTTTGCTGAGATTGTCCCAGGCAGGTGTGTGTGCAGCTGTGTGTGTCTGTGCACCTGGGTGCTGTAATATGCTCAGCAGCTCTGTACTAATTGAACAGTGCTTCATTCCCAGCTGCTGAATATATAACAAGTTCATCAGCTGACATTATGACTGAACGTACTGAAACCTGTTAGTGCTGCTTCACCACAGGCTGAATATCATGGGAAAGCAGGAATTCACCTTAGCAGATATGGGAAGGGCGGGAAAACACCTTCAGTGTTTAATAGTTTTGCTGAATGACGTCATCAAAGACACATGTTGCTCACTGAGTTAATATATAACATTTAATATATATACACTACTGTTTAAAAGTTTGGGGTTGGTAAGATTTTATATTGTTTTTGAAAGAAGTCTCATGTTTAGCAAGGCAGCATTTATTTGATGGGGGAATATTATTGCAATTTAAAATATCTGTTTTCTATTTTAATATATTTGGAGGTGTTTTGTTTTGGTTGTTTGTAATGGTTGCTTTGGAAACCAATAGTTCCTTATCAAGAAAAACCGAATTATCATTCCTTACGATAAAAGCTACATAGCCTGTTTTTCTTTAAGTTAAATGCTACATACTGCTAACAATGGCAGCTTCATTCTAGCCTGAGAGGTTCAAGTTTGTTCGTTACGCTGTGGTAATCTAAGCTAAATCTAAGACAACAATTACAGCTCATTCCACACATTAACTTTGATGCTAAGTCCAAAATTTACACACTTTTTTGCCTTTGAGGTATTTTTTTCATGTGTCAATCATTCACGCATCACTTCCTGTAATGAATGACAGCGGTTATTGAATGTGCCCCTTTGAAGTGAACTGTCTTGTATTACTATCTCATTGTGAGATGTAATTTAAAGTGCTTAAAGGACTTTTTGAATGACACGTCTTTGATCCTGCCAAAACTGTATGGGGATCTCAATTACTCTCGTGTAATGAGCCTGCTTCGGCTCTGAACTCATAAACACACTGGGCTATCGTCACAATCCCCTGCTTTTATTTTACACAGATAAACAGGACAATAAATAATGGCAAACATCAGATCTACATTTGTACAATACAGCAGTTCTTGCAATTCCAAGAACAATCCTGAAGGTTTTGTTGAATGTCATTCTCAGCGTGTCGCCTGATTCAACACGGCCGCTTGTTTGTCCCACATTGGCACGCTGTGCTTCCCTGCTCGTCCAGCTGTTCTTGAATCTCTTCCAAACGCGTCAGAGCTGTTGTTTATTTAAAATGGTTCAATCCAATCCAGATTAATGGCGCTTTATCATCTGTCCCCCTCCTCCTCCTCCTCTTCCTCTTCGACTTTAATCACAGAACTCGCTGCTGCCAGACCCAGAATTTTCCCCTTTTATATGACTTCTGATGGATTTGCCTCATTTTAAATGGCTAATTATTTTTTAACAAATAAACTGCTCCATTTAAGAGCATAAATCATAGAGCAAACAGAGGACTTCTATTCAACTTTAATTTGATGTTTATATGATTTAAAGTTTGTTGCGGTCGAACATAAAACACTCTTCTTATATACAATTGCCTCTTTTATCTGGGAGCTGACATATTAGGGCTTTTCCAAATGTCATAATTCATCTCTCATCTCTCAATTGAGAATGAAGTGGGAGGGTGGTTCTTTCCCTTTTCTTCCTCTGTTTTAAAACATCACTTTTAAGACTTAACTCTTAAATCCTCTTCATACAGCACAGAATCCCTGAACTCGGTGACTCTGCTGCATTGCGTTGGATGGATGCCCTGCCCAAACTTAAGAAACTCTGTGTTGGTTATGATGCTGAGGTCATACTGGAGCAAAATGTACAGTTTCTGGCATTTTTTAAGTGAGTATATGTTTTATAATGCATTTGTACTACACTTCATTTTAAAGTTTGATTCTGAAGTTAATTCTAATTCATATAAATATATAATTCATAAATTATCCACAAATTTAGAAGAAATGCTACAACAGCATTCAAAAACATTCCACTTGATAATTTTGTGGATATAGAGTTGCAATAGAGAAATCATATGTACTGTATAAGATTAGTCAATGACATTTGATCCTAAAAGGTCCCTCGTGACTAAGAAAAAAAAGCAGAAATGACAGCAAATTCCAGTATGTCTAGAAGACTGTACATTTCGTTTAATTGGAGCTGTCTCGTTGAAATTGCTTCAGTCTTTCTCTTTACTGTGAGCAAACAGGGATTCACGCATCAGCTCCTCAGAAGTATGAATAAACAGCAGCGCGGCGCATGCACCTTTTGATTCCCACAACATCAGTTCCCACAGCACAGGATGTTTTCTGGTTATGCAAATTGATTTCTTGAGTAAAAGCTGTTAGCGAATTGTTCTAATTAGTCAGCTGGTGAACATGGAAGGGATTAGCACATAGTTGCTCAATGCAGATATTTGATCTGCCTAAATGTTGTACAATAAATAATTCTCAAGACCCCATTAAATCAAAATTAGAGTTTTGTGGTTTTTAGTCCATGTGCATTAATTCTAGGAATTCTATATGCTAAACGTTGAGAAAAAAAAAAGTTTTTGAATAATTTTCTTCTGGTAAAACTGACCAAAAATACTGATGACTCATCCCGCACTACACAGATTTTTGTCCAATTAGATGCTCTATAGAGTCAGAATGCCCCGCCCCATAACACCACCTGCAACTGACTAGCAAATCATGGTTCATGTTTGTACCATAGCTACAGCTGCACTGGTCAGCGTTCTTCCTGTTGAAAAGGAAGTGTGGGTGGGGCATATTGAAAGGCTAATGATTTTATTTTTAAAAAGCCAATAGACTTCAAATGCATCAACTACGAATTCCTATGATGTTTTATTTGCTTATTTCTAGAGAACATCTGATTAGATAAAAATCAGTGTAGTGCACGATGAGTCATTAGTTGTTGTTTTTTTTTTCCAGAAGAGAAACAATGTAAATTTTGAATACATTACATAACATTTGGGAAGAACTAAAAACCCACAAAACTCTAATGCTAGCTTTTACACATAAGGCAACGGAAAACAAATACATACTGTTGGTATTGCAACATTAGTCAGCACACAGTGGACATCTCGGTCTATGCATTGGTTAATTAGTTATAATTTGGTAAGCTGCACCTTACAAGCTATTCTCCATGTGGATAAGTGCGGCGATCATAACACTAGACTGGTATAATTTACATGCGTTCCTCTCTTATAAAGAGAGAACATTCGTGAAATCAACAAGAGGCGAAATGTTCCCTGAGTTCGCGCCGTATTGAATGATTCTAAATCGTCTTGTCACACAAGTGACTCGCAAACAGGTGCGTTATCCGAGTCCTGGCTGTGCATTGAACTCAATCCGGTGTCCGAATCATCATCATTGGTGCAGGTTTTGGACAGTCCCCTCGCCTGCTCTACCCAAACATTGTCTACGGAAGGCAGTTGTTCGGTTTCTCCCTCATCTTTGCTGTCTTCCGCCTGTTTCTCTTCCAACTCGTCTAATCTGTGAACCTTTTCGAGTAATTCCCTCAACTCCTTTTCTTTCGCGTCCAAAAGCTCCTGACTCATATCCAAGTCGCTCTTCACCGTCTCCAGATCGGTGTTCAAGCGCAGCCCGATGTATAAACTCGTATCCAGTTGTGTTTTGATCCTCTCCTCCTCTAATTGGAGTTCATTGTCTGTTAGGAGGTCCGGCACAACTGGGACCGAAGTCACCTTGAGAGCCGTTTCTTCTCCACTGCTCTCCGCGTCTTTGTTGGAAAGCTCCTCCTGTCGCCGTCTCATCCACCTGTGGTTGAGTTCTTCTTGTATTTCACCTGTAAGTATCTCCATCAGAGCCTCCCTCTCGGCCAGTTCCTCCTGAAGTTGAATGACTTGGTCGCAGCGTGACGCGTATTCCTCAAACTGCGCAAAGGACGCGTCCGGATGCGCGCTGGAATCGCTATCCAAGCCTTGGTCGAGCAAATAAGTGTCTTGCACATAGTTTACGCCGTGTATTTTCATTCTGTCAAAGTGAACTTTCGATTCATACCTCTCGATTTCACCATCCAGCTCTTTTATTCGCTGTATCTGCTGTCGGATAGTATGATCCTGCGAAATAATTAGATGGACGAGCGTTTCCATTTTCTCCGCAGATGGTTTGTCTTTTGAAGTCTCCTCTCTCTTCCGATTAATTTTGTCCAACTTTCTAAAAGCCTTCCGCACAATCCTCCGCTGTTTTTCCTGTGTAATCTGCATGGTGGCTCTGGTAGTGCAAGGGCTCTCTTTGCTGAGCACGACCCGCGCCTCGGCGCTCCTCGGTCCGCTGTTGGGCAGCGATGCGTCGCTCCTGACCAGGACGAAGCGCACGTTCTCCTGCTCGTCGCCCCAGGCGCTCCACAGCCGCAGGATTTTGGTTTTATTCGGCAGAATCCGCTCAAAACCCCTCCATTTCTCCACGATACAGTACGACTGTGGAGGACCGGTGAGCATCGCGCCTTTCTGGAAGTTCTGGTCCTCCATCAGCACTTTCACTATATCCGCGCAGGTGGTGCGTCTGGACAGTCCGGACACCAGCTTCTCCTCCCGGCATACCCACACCGAGATTTTGCTCTCTTCTTGTTCCATAACTCACATCGAGGTCCAAGAAACCGGGTTGACTTTGCACTGTCACATCGATAAAATGTTACACGCGGTAAAACTTTATCAGCTAGACAGACGAGTCGTCGCCGCGCGCTGAGAGTTGTGTTTGTCTCTGAACTACAGCAGCGTGTTTCTGAGCGCGCAGGCACCGCCCACCGAGTCCCAACATCACATGACATTAAACGCCAACTTCACTCATTATGTAGATAATAATGCACTCAGATGATCATAAACACATGCTGTGAATATATGGACTGGTTGTCACTTTTCACTCCATTTATGCCATTATTTTTGAAAGCATTTCTGTGTAAGCAAAAATGCATCTGAACATTTCACTGAATATATGTTTACCAATAATGGGGCATGTTGTCACACTACTGTAATGGGTAGGTTGTCACAATGGAATCTGCCATTAAACCGCCTATATAGACGTTTCAGCGAAATGTAAACACACAAAACAACTATGAATCACAAAGCAATTTTGTAACACCCAAAATTGTAAAACTAACACAAAAATACTGAATCTTTGTTTTGACTAACAAGTATTGTAATTCAAGGTTTTCCGAACTGGGGCTCATCAACCCCTGGGGGTATTAAGTTTACAAAAAGCTAATAACTGCTTAATAAAAATGTAAATAAGTAGCCTAAATGAATAAATACAATTCATTAAAAATAAATGAAGAATACACAATTCTGGCTATAAATGTTGATATTTTATTAGTTTACCTGCATGTCATTAACCACATTCAGAGAAAAAGATTAATAATTACATCATAAAAATGTAAAACTAAAAAAAAAAAATCAATAAAAAAATCAAATAAAAATAAAACACTTGCTAAAAAATTACATATTAGTTTACCTGCATGTCATTAACCAACATAAGAGAATGGAAATTTTATCATAAAAATGTAAACTTAAAATACAAAAAATAACTAAATATAAAAATCTAAATAAAACACTAAAAATGTTGACATTTTCTTAGTTTACCTTAGTTTAACCAATTAGAGAACTGTGAACACTGAATGTGTTGTTAAATTATTTAAATATTAACTTCAAATCTCTTTTCAAGTAAATATTCAGGTCAAAGAGGTTTGGCTGACCAAAACATTTGTGAATCCCTTGTTATTAAACTGCATAAATGTGTAACATTTAAAACAAATGACGACTTGCCCCAGTGAGAAAATAACTTTTCTAACATGACACAAAATACCCTGGTCCACATGAAACATTATATAACCTATAATCTTTGTTAGTATTATTGGTGTTACTAGGTCTTTAAATTGCTAGTACGTCTACTGATGACATAATGTACATTTTGATAAAATATGAGATTTAGACCATACTGTAGGCCTAAGCCTGTAAAGTACTTCACTAGAGGGAGGTGTATTATTGTTAGTCTGAAAAAGGTCAGTGGCTATAACGTAAATCACTACACTGGTTTTGTCCAGCTGTGCATAACCGGATGTTCAGATTTTCCATCGGTCAGTGCAGATTTAGGCTGTAATATCCCCAGATGAGAGAGGGCAAAAGACAACTTTCCTGGTGAAATAAGCCCTCAGGATTATATCAAGAGTTCTGTTGTGCTGTAGACCTGTCGATATATGTCTATTGATAATAATAATAATAATTATGTTATAATAATCTGTTTGTGTGTGTGTGTATATATATATATATATATGTATACACACACACACACACACACACACTAATTATACATATAGACAAGATTTAAAGTGCCTGTCAGTAATAGTAATAATTTAACAGAAATAATTTAATATTACTGTTAAATGTAATATTTAGCAAATTGAAAATGAATGAAAAATGAATGAATTTTTCATAATGTAAATTATAATGTTGTGATCCCTAAATTCAGTTGTAGCATTTAAAACCATTGATTTAATTTTTTTTTACTGTTGTAATTCATTTAGACGAGATAATATAGAATATATTATTGGCCATTAATGAGCTATCAGCCATATCATTGAATTTGTTCTTTAGCTGGTCCAGCACTCAGTGTTCAGTGACAAATAGTAATATATAATAATAAGAACAATAACAATATTAATACTACTACTACTACTAATAATAATATATTGCATATTAGTAGTAGTAGTAATATTGTTATAATTAAGTAATAGGCCTAATATGTTCATAATAATATAATTTTTAATTACATTTATAATTATAATAAATAATAATTGTAACATTTTTATATTATATATAATCATGTTAATTTAATTTGTATTCAATTCTGTTTGGTAAAAATGAATAAAGTGATTGCGGAAAACAGGGTAGTGTAGTGTGTCATTATTTACAATGTACTGCCACCTAGTGGTTGAAAAAACATTACATATGTTTTTTTAAAAAGTACAGCAGACCTCCATCAAAACAAGCCACATGTCATTCATACAGGTAAAATATTTGTTTCTCAAAAACAACGTGTGTGTGTGTAAACAAATATGCTACTAATTACTTAGTGCAGGAGAGAAAATAGAAACGCTAAGCAAAACAGTTTGCAGTACAAACACTAAACGTTTATTTTTTCATTTTCATCCCCTCAAGGAAAATATACACAACTGAAAACAATTATTTGACATGAGTCCACCTATTGAAAAAAAGCTACCAAACTTAACGTTTCAGTGCTCCCCAGACAAAGTGTTCTTACTGAAAACAAACAGACAAGAACTGCATCAAATACATTAGTGTTCTCTTTTAAAGTTCTTTTTACTAACAGATACTCTGCAAAACGTGTAAAACATGGCTGACAAAAAACAAACAAACAAAACATAATCTTGTGTGTTAAATAAGACTGAGATCGACAGTTTGATTCGGATTCAGGAGTCATTTTACCCAGAGTTATGACGGCCCTGTAAGCACTGGACTGTCACTCATCATTCTGCTTGTCAGTGTAATTAAAGTCACGTGATGCCTTTGTGTTCATGAAATCGTATCGCCCTTCCGCTATATACATGACACCATAACGAACTGCTTTCTTATGGTAGATAACAAATTCCTGATTCCTACTAAAATTAAAATATCCTTCCATCAAAATGAGAGAGCAGTAACACTTTTTTTTAAAAATCGATTTTAATTATTTTTCTCCCCTCTTTTAAAATGTCAAAGGCATTATGGTGATATTAGAATCCAAATCTGACTCACGGTGTGTTTTTTTTTGGTGTCAATTTTCTGAGCTGGAAAAACACACAAAAGGCACTTTCAACACCTGTAGCTTTCACTTGGCATGAACAGAAGTGATAGAATGTGTTTATTTGGTGTACAAGAGAGAGATGTGACCTACTTTGCTTAGACTGGATAGACAAAAAAAAGAAAAAGTGGGACAAAATACATACTTCATGTGAGTGTATATATAGCCCACTTCTACTCACAATTAGACGATGTCTGCGATTATAAACACTAAGGCACGATATGCTTTGGTGATTTTGCTATGTAAATTCCCATTCTTGTGTAGCCTGTTCTGATATGAGCAGACATAACGCATTAGTTTCTTAAAGCTGAAGTTCGTCACTTTTGCGCCAATAGCGCCACCTATAGAATTTCAAAAATATTTTCAAACCAACAGGTAGCCCCGCCCCCAACTCACGCCATTGGTGGAGTGAGTGTTTAGGCGGGTCGATCAAAACAAATGTGGAATTTTCATAGTGCAGCTGAATGTTTATGGTTTTCTCGAAAATTACCTGACGAATGGCTTTACTCGGAGTCTCTGCATATTAAGCTGGGATAGGAGGATTTTAAACAGAAAAAATGACATAGGTCAGCTTTAAATGCAAAAGAAAATTCACAAATTAATAACTGATTAAGGGTTGAATTTGGTTGTTTTTAAAGTTTCTTATAAGAAAATGATTTGTTTCTTAGTGTTTAATATACATAACTGTAGGTCACACTGGAACAGCCCATGTGCAGTGTAAGGCAGGTAGTTCCACATAAATAATACAGTACCTTTTTATGCTCTTTCATTAAAGTTAAATCCACTAAAGGTAAAAATAATACCAGGGGCGAAGTCTTTGAAATGTAGTTCAGTGTGAGAATAAAAGGTTGAACAACAGAAAAAAAAAGTGTACTATGTACATGTACTATGACAATACGTTTTTATATAAGCAATGTTCTTTCAAAAACACATTAATGTTGGTTTAAAACATCAACCAAAGTTAAACAGACATCTGAACGAAGTAACAAAACCGTACCGTTTCACCCACACGACAGGTTAATGAAAAATAAACACCAAAACACAAGAGATACACTAATTATAATGTAATTATTCATTCCAGACCTCACCCAAAACGTGACAAAAGCCTTCTGGGTGGGACTGACAGAGGCACAGCCACTTAAAAACGAGGTCGTGAGTCATTCAAAGGCTTTTCTTAGTCCGCTAGGCTCTGCTGCCCTTGGCGGTCGTCAGCTGTGTAGCCTAAAAGCCTCAGTGAATATAAAGTCTCCACTGTTCTCTGGGTCGCTGGCTGCTCTCTGCTCGTAGTGTTACTCGTGTGAGTCGAGGAGCTTCAGTCTTTGACCAGTCTGTAGATGTGATGCTGAGCGCCGTGCTCGCTGTTGGAGACCTCGAACACACAGGCTATGCACAGTAGCGTCTCTTGAGTCTCCCTGTTCGTCACCACCTGTGGGAACAGTGCAGGAATTGATGCTTTTAGCAATCGGCAACACAAGACCACATTTGAAGCCGAATACATAGTCATATTTACGCATGTGCATTTACAAAAGACATGGGAATTGTAGGACCTACCAATAGGATGGTGAAGTTTTCTAGTACGCTGTTCATCATGTACTTCTCAGGCAGGTGCTTGAGCTTATGGATAAAGTTGATCATGTATTCACACATGGGAGACCGGTTGATCTTGTACACAAAGCGTCCGTTCTCAAACCGCGCATACTCCGTCTACCAGAAGAGACAAAAATCAAATAATAAATTAAAAATGTTATTTTAATACTGTTTTCATCTTATAATTACATACATACTGTATCTAAAATTAAATACAATGAATATATTATACATTATATAAATAAATTACACAATTACATTTTATATATATATAATATAATATATACACTACCGGTCAAAAGTTTGGGATCAGAATGATTTTTAATGTTTTTTAAAGAAGTCTCTTATGCTCATCAAGGATGCATTTAATATAAAAAATAATATAATGTATATTAATATTGTGTGGTTTGATAATTTTATATTATATAAAATTACATTTAAATTACATAAAATTTTATAATAATGCTTAATGTATTAAATTAATTTTAAAATTACATTTATGCAAAATTACGTATACACAAATAAAAAAATTACAAATATGATTTTAAATATTACAATACATGTAAAAGTAAATAGTATATTTTAAATGTTACATTATGATTTTAAATATTACAATATTACAAATAAAATATTAAATTAACTTTAAAAATTAATGAAAAGGTAAATATTTTAAAATTTAAAAGAAATTAAACAAAATAACAGTAATCTGACATTAAAAAAAACGTGTGTGTATATATATATATATATATATATATATACACTCACTACTTTACATTGTAGCAAAGTGTCATTTCTTCAGTGTTGTCACATGAAAAGATATAAATATTTACAAAAATGTGAGGGGTGTACTCACTTCTGTGAGATACTGTATATATAAAAATTAAATTGAGTTTATTTTTAGTATGACAACATTTTGATGTTTATGAACATCTTTTTATACTGAAGCTTTATTTTACTTATATTAATTTCTCATATTTCTCATATCATATTCACTCCTCACCTCAACTTTTTCAACCACTTGTTTCCCAAAGGAGCAGACCTTTGTGGAGCAGGTAATGGTCATGTTCTCTGCGCTCTCGTACTGACTAGTTACGCCGTAAAATGCCCCAGAATCCTCCAGGATGTTACAGTTGAGGTCGGCCTGCGGACACACCAGATAAAAGCTCAGTGACGATGAGAGAAAACACTGACAAAAGCAAATGTGTTGAATTCCACCCCAGGGTTTGCATACAGCTGGGTAAATGAATGAGTCATTTGTCAGATGCTCATAAATAAAAGGTGCTTCATGTTAACAGTAAACTCTTTGGGTACTATAGAGCCTCCTGTCATGTTCATCAAGACCACACACACCTACAATCACTTTTTTTCTTTTACAGTTGCATTTAATGGAACTTTTTTGACAAGTTTATTTTAAAACAGTAAGTACACCATCAGAGATTGATGAAAAACAATTTTTTTTGCAGTCTCAGATTTCAAGGCTATGAAATATGATTATAAAACCCTATAATCAAAAACGATAAAAACCTTGTACCCTGCTGCTGTCCTAAAAACACCCATTAGTAAAAGATAAACAAGGCCACCTTCCAAAACTAGTCTCTAATGCAAGAGTGTAATGAGTGTTTGTGTCTGAATGTGGTGGTCTGCTTGGCTCGTGCGCTCAGAGCGGCAGCTGTTCAAATAAAGGCTCCCTATCAAATCCAGCATCATCAGTACTAGAGTTTCTGGATTAAATACACCACTGCTGGCTTTAACACAGCACTTTAATCAAACCAGTTCAGCTGCCTCGATTCAAACTCATGCAGGTGATTAGTGCTCGACGCATGCTGTTTTTCTGAAATCTACACAATGCTGATATGATAAAGGACTGATTCTTCAACTTCTTCAGCACTTTTATGTCGTAGGAGATTATTTTTCAAACGTCTTTTATGTATAGATTTTACCCAGATTTTCAGTCTTGACCTATCATTTTACTTTACCTAAAAGCCATCATTACAATATATATATATATATATTAGGGCTGCACGATAAATCGCATGCGATATTTAACGCGCATCTTGTCAGAAAGCCGGTTCTGTAATCAGCGGTAAATCTCCATCACGTGCGTTCTTTCACATTGAGCAGCATTAACTACACAGAGCCGTTGTTCACTGACGAAAAGACTATCTATTATTAGTTATCAATATTTAACGTTTTATATTTGACAGTATTTTAAAAATTGTAATAGTTAATTTTATTATATGAATAATTAATAGTAATATTATAAATATGACATATTATTATTATATTTTTTAAATAAACCCAAAAACACTCATATTTATAATTAGCTATCAAACTTTATTAATTGATAATTAATTTATTTTAGCTAAGATATCTTTTAATTGAAACTTTTTTTTAAAGTTTATTAAATGTTTTATTAACAATTAAAATTGTATTAAAATTTCCATAAAAAAGCCAAAGGTGAAAATGTGTATAAAAATTAAAGAAATTAATTATGAATTATAATAGGAATTACCCTTATCCCAGACCTATAAAAGCCATCATAAAAATTCATTGTTTAAATTAAAGTTTATATTAGAATTTAAATGAATTATTAACATTTAAAAAAAAATGTAGGTTTGTGATTTGTAATATTATTATTTTTTGTTAAGGCAATCCAAACGTGCCCCTACTCAAAAAGGCACCTCTATTAATAGTTATTAAAATTGTAAAGTTTTATACTGAAAATTCTGTATTTTAATATAAAAAGTATTTATATTAAATATTAATAATTATATTAAAAGGCCAAAAGTTCAAATAAAGTTTGTACAAAACTGCTGAATTAATTATGAATTATTATATTAATTCATGATTTACTCATTTTAAAGCATATTGCATATAAATATATTCACAAAATATCTCAGTACAATGCAATAACGCCACTGTGTAAATTACAGAACTATGAAAAACTGGGAAAAAGTGCAGGGAAAAGAAGGAAATGTGATTGGAAAATGATTCAAACAATTTGTATTGTTTGCATGAGCACCACAGGTCAATGTGCTAACAGCTACAGTATGCAAACTCAAATGCTGAAGACTCACCCAGAACTTGACCAGGAAGAAGGCGTTCTGAGGTCCTTTTCCAAACAGCTCCTTCAGCCCGCCCTTCTTCTCAGGAAATTTGTCGTAGATTTGACGTATGTCCACTGTCTCCAGGAGCGCGTCGTTGTACGAATGATTCGTCTGGCCGATGTGCACAAACAGATGCTTGTTGTACTGCAGAAAGAGATGTAATTAGATCATTGCAACTCTACTACAGGCTACAGAAAATTAACTAACATGCTCTTATTTTGCCCAAGAATAACTACGTAATATGTTGCCTGGTCAACAAGCTTTTTTTATATAATTTGGTTTATATAATATGGTTTTCAATGAGTTCAAATGCCATTCCCAAATGTTGTTTGTGTGAGTAACGAAGCATTGCAGATTGCATTTGTGAGGCATTTCAGGTACGTTCTGAACCTCTTCCCCAAAGCTGAATGTTTGTGTGACGGGACGACTGTATTGAGAACGCAACTCGTTCTGCGTATAGCTACGAACGCAAGATTAATAGCCGCTGTCACGCCAGACCAGAGGGACAAGCATTTCATAGAGATGCTGCCAACATGATCCATTACATGGGTCTGCTTTAACACGGACACAAGGCATTCTAGTAACCTGCAGGTCACAACAATTTCTTCCCGGATCTCACTTTCAATCTAAACATGCTGTTTTGTCTTCATTGCATTGACTGTAGTCAGATCAGTGCTTAAAGACACTTAATTTGAAGTGAGTGAGTCCCACTTCTAGATGAGTCCTGGATCATAAGAAGCATGTTCAGAAGCTACACTCAACCTTATTTTATAATGTTTATAAAGTAATAAAAATTGCAGAGCTGCTGTAAAAACTGTAGGTGTTTAGTAGTGGCGCTGTGGCTCTGCGGCTGCTAAAGCAGGTCAAGGCTGCTCTTCTCTGCAGTGGTTGTGGGTATGTGTGCTGACTCACTGAATCTGGGTCCCGCTGATGCTCCAGGAAGGAGGAGAACTCCACCAGCCGCAGTTTGGAGGTGCTGATGGAGCGGCCGTGCCACGCCGGCACTGCGGCTGTCAGGGGTGTGGGGGACTCGTAAGCTACACACAAACACAGCATTGCTAAACATAAGTAATGTATTAAAGCAATAAGACGAAAGCAATTAAGAGTAACTTAAATAGAAGAAATATACTGTCATTTTTTAGTTAATAATTCTTACACCTTCTTACATTAAATGATATGATATTAAATTATATAACATAATAGTATACATTTACTTATATATTATAATATTATTAAATATAAGATAGTATAATATACCTTTTACTTATATAATATAGATACAAACTTATTATTATTATACATGACTAATATACATTTTATATTAATTTAATAATTTTAAAAAAATTTCCATCAAGTAATGCACTTATAGTCTCTTTATTATATCATGTTATTATAACAAAACTATAATAATATGGTAGTGTTACCATATGTATATGTAAGGCTGTCAGTCAATTAAACATTTTAATCGAATTAATTACATGATGTGTCGATTAATCGAATTATTCGCAAATTACATTTGGCTTTGAAAATACCCACAAAAGATTATTTAAAGCTATTTTTGTGTTAAATGAGAAAGTATTAAGTAGACATTACAAATAGTAGCTTTAGAAAGAAACATTTTATTTGATTCAACAGAAAATGTATTACACACAAACATTTAGGCTAACATCCTAACATAAACGGAACATTAAAGAAGATCATTTGAGAAACATCTCAAATGGAAAGTCACCGGTAGCCAAAACAGCTTTATTACCAACAATCTTCAAAATACCTTCTTTTATGTTCCACAAAAGAAAGTAATTATGTCATAATTTACTCAAACTGTACTTTATCGAGGTTCTTTTGCTTGGAATATGGTTCCCATAAATATACGAAAGCGTAACTACATATGTATTTCGAAGAAAATGTGAAGATTTGCTTATAAATATGTAGATGTATATTTTAACTGCTGCTACTGCTGAGATGTATAGTTTTGTGATGTGATAAATGAAATTGTATTCTTGTTCGTTTTTATTTATTTATAAGACTGTTGGTCTTGGATTGATTTGTGGACCCCAGGAAGACTAGCAACCACTTTGTGGAAGCTAATGGGGATCCAAATAAACAATAAACAATTTACTCAAACCTGAATAAAGACACTTAATTTGAAGTGAGTGAGTCCCACTTCTAGATGAGTCCTGGATCATAAGAAGCATGTTCAGAAGCTACACTTCTGTTTTCTTCTAGTTTAGCAGAAAAGATCTGGTTTAGCTTAGCACTTCATTTGATTTTTTTGACTCGGAATGAGTTCGGTGGAGATTTGAGGTTGTGAAGATTTCCATTATTATCAGTGGATCAGGAAAAACGCAGGATGTGACCTCGGTCATCATGACCATCTCTAATAAGAGCCCACTGCCCTGCAGCTGCTGTCAGTAGATTTGCATTTCTCTAAAGCATCGCACAAGGTCCATGATCCAAGGCTAAATGCTAAATCATCATCTCACCAACACCAACGATATGCAAATAAAATCATGCAATACTACTAACATTGATCCTTTCATTTAGATTCAAAGTACTTCATAATCAACACAATCTGTTTATAAGTCTGATTAATTTATAAATATTATTACTCAGGTAAAATTGTATTTATGCAATAAATTAAATTAATAAAAATGCATATTTTTTGTATTATTTACTATATTAATATTTCTTACATATACTTTATAACATTTATTATAAAGATACAAAATATATGTATTTTTATTATAATTTCGAAGAAAATGTGAAGATTTGCTTATAAATATGTAGATGTATATTTTAACTGCTGCTACTGCTGAGATGTATAGTTTTGTGATGTGATAAATGAAATTGTATTCTTGTTCGTTTTTATTTATTTATAAGACTGTTGGTCTTGGATTGATTTGTGGACCCCAGGAAGACTAGCAACCACTTTGTGGAAGCTAATGGGGATCCAAATAAACAATAAACAATTTACTCAAACCTGAATGACTTAAATTTTGGGGTGAACTCTCCCTTTATAGTTTTTTCCCCCCCTTTTTTATTTTGAATGAAATAATACAATAATACTCAAATAAGAAATTAAAACTGCCAGCAGGTGGCGATAATTGTCTTTATGAGTCTTTCATTCATTCAATTCGTTCAAACGGCTGATTCATTCAGGAATTCACTAAACGGCTCACTTTATGAATGGGCCTTTGAATCATTGGTTCACACAATTCGTTCAAAACGCGGATTCATTCAGAAACTAAACACCGCTGTGCTGCTCACAGATGCACAATTCTGCTGTGGCTTTAGGTAATATTTTTGTTGGCAACACTGAGCAAAATCAGACAATATTGTGTTTAAAATATAAAATAATGTTAACGTCTTAATTATTTAACTGTTGTATAAAACCACTTGCACTCGTGGTATTCGGACATAAGCAGCACTAGTGTGATATTGCTCTTGCTGCTCGTGTGATCGTCGTGTGCTCATGTGAGACAAAAAAAAAATGGGAGAATTTTTGCCCCAATATCTTGAATTTTAGGGCATAACTGCACTTATGGAATTGTTGCCCTGCATCATATTTGTCTTTTTTTTTATTTTTTATTAATGCTCAAAAATCAAGAACAGTACACAAAAAATAATACAACCATCAACATAAAAATGATAAACAACAATAACAAAAAATTAAGTAAAAATAAATAAAGAAGAAGAAGAAAAAAGGGGGGTGTTTAATACATTACAAACTGAAAAAATAAAATTGAGACTTACATGTCATTAAAGATAGGAAATGCATCATATTTGTCAACAACTATGAAATGTAAGATGATGTACAGGTCTGGGGGCGGGGCCAGTGCGTTAACTGGTTCAAATATTTTAATCGCGTTATTTTTTTATAACTAATTAATTAAGTTAACGTGTTAAACTGACAGCCCTTAATATACATGAATAAACAACAAACAAAAAGTAGCAGTTTTAATTCAAAGCAACAGCTTTGAGCGGCTCATCCAAGCAAATATAAGAACCAGAATTTTTCTTTTAAAAATATACAAAATTTAAGCAGGTTTATGCAAACTTACACATTCATAAAAGTATCAAAGGCATCTGTTAACTATGAATATACACACCTGCGATGGCTGTGGCCGTCTGGATGGGGTAATTCTGCTGTGCGAACGGCTTCACACTGAGGTGATTATCACAAGGTGAGGTGATTATCACAAGGTGAGGTGATTATCACAAGGTGTCATTTTTAATTCACAAGTTGTTGTACACGTTTTAATATGTACAAACTCAGCCGTGTATATTCAAGTTAGTTAAGTCATATACACTTACTCTTGTGAGGAACCAGGCTGCCCTGTTGACACTTGCCAAATCTAGAAAAGGAGTCAAATGTATTGCAGTGTTATAGTGTAAAACAATAACGATGCATGGGACACTAATGGTTTTAAAGCGGTCTGGGGTGTCTCTTACCCCTGTCGCCCCAGGCAAGGTGGCTCGAGGGAGTCCTGCGAACCCCAGCCGGCTGTGGATGGCCGTGGCCGAGACGATCTGCGCTGAAGACATGGCCGCCATCCTGTTGATCACATCATTCTTCACGGTCTGGTCCTTCAACGAAACACACAACAGAGAAGATTTAGCTCCTGCTCTGTTATTTGCTATAAAACCTCATTTATATTATTAGATGAAATCAAATCTAACCCTGGCTCAAGGGCAAATGAATTTGTCTCGTTAAGACCTGACGCTGTGAAAAAGCAGATAAGGCCCATTTAAACTGCTCTACCATACAAGCTAAATGGGCAAATAGTTTTGCCATTGACCTTTGATTCTGAAAATTTAAAGTGTTAAAAATGAATAAACTGAAGTACTTCAAAACTTAAACAGTTTTATGTAAGCACCGAGTACTGCATATAGCATACGTGAGGAACTCAAAGCTTTAAAAAAGGAAATTAAATTCAGCACAGAGAGCTTTATGAGTCACAGATACTACAACATGTGAATTACTTTCAGTCTATGTATACTTTAGACCAGCAATATCCCTCAAATTTTGCCATAACTAGACTTGTTAAAGGTTTGTGAGTTTCCAGAATGCACGCCATGTTAATTAGGTTGTTAGTTTTGACTTTATACTTTTTGTTGTGTGGTTATTTACTTTTCATGCTTATTGACAAACGTATGTGAATAAACAGGCCTTGTGTGAAGAATGTGAGCTCTGTTTCTGTAAGAAATGCTGTATAAATGCAAGCAGTCAGCTGCGGTGCATGAAAGCAGCAGTCAGTCAGACTGTCTGATAAATGTGTTGCACTGTGGTCAAACAGGCTGACAAGTACTGGAGTGCATATGCTTAAAGAAGAGCCTTTTGTATCATCACAGACGCTGCCAAATAAAATGAGTAACCAATCCTATTCGCCCTCTTTCTCCCTTGAAAAAAGCACCAAAATAAATAAGAAAAAAGAGAGAAAAACTAAACAGAGGTTTTGTCAGTGGACTGTCATTTGCTGTTTAAACCACCAGATGCCACAGCTGCTCAAAAGCACGATCCTTTGACATCTCCTCAGGCCAGCCAATGACAACATCAGCATCTACACACCACTATACATTATGTTGTATATGACAATTTAGAATTATTGTTATTTTAATACAATATTAAAGTGTTGCTTTTTTAAAAGAAATTAACACTTTTATTCAGCAAAGGTGCTTTATTTATTTTTTTTTTAAGTGACAGCACAGACATAATGATACAAAAGATTTTCAATTCAAATAAATGTTGTTCTTTTGATCTTTCTAGAATAGAATAATTCTGAAAAAATGTTTAATGCTTGAATGAACTTTCTAGAACAGAAGATCCCTGATTAAAATGAATCATGGTTTTCACAAAATATGAAGCAGCACAACTGTTTTCGACATTGATAATAACAAGAAATGTTTCTTGAGCAGCAAATCAGCATATTAGAATGATTTCTGAAGGATCATGTGACACTGAAGAATGGAGTAATAATGCTGAAATTTCAGCTTTGCATCACAGGAATAAATGACATTTTAAAATGTATATAAATAGAAAGGATGTATTTCAAATTATAATAATATTCAACAATATAACTGTTTTACTGTATTTCTTTACTGTTTTATGCACCCCTTCTGAGCATAAATTTTTTTTTTACGGTAGTGTATATATCAGGGGTGTCCAAACTACGGCCCGCGGGCCAAATGCGGCCCGTGGATGAATTTTAAGCGGCCCGCAGCTGTCTTAATAGTCTATGTTATGTATGGCCCGCCAAGCATAATTTACATCGTCGAATCCGGCCCTCTTTAGGAAAAGTTTGGACACCCCTGGTATATATAATCAATACCAGTGACCTGAACCTCTATGTAGACAAGTCTACAAATTTTAAGCAGGTACTCACAAACTGAATAATGTCTAAAGGAGGCACATCTGCTTTGACTTTCAAACCACATTGTAAATCGTGTGACTGTCCTTGAGCAACTTTACTCAAGTCGACCCGTCTATCACACATTAAATATTTCTGTGTGCATGCGATGCCTTTCCAAAACAAACAAGTTTGTGCAAAACAGGAAGGAAACGGACAAACATGCAGAAGAAAAGAAGTTAGCCAGTTGACTGCATACTAAGCAGGCCAGTCACAAGCAGGAAATCTAGGCTACAGACAGTCAAACAGCAAGGCACTCGTACACACACAAACACACACAGTTCAGTACGGATATGGCCTGAGAAACTACACACATACACACACAGGCTGTGTCAAACACAAGATTGGCATGTACCTTTAGCTTGGAGTGAAATTCTCTGGATTTCCTCCGAGCAAGAACCTGGATATGACTGGAGACCTGGTCAAACACACACACACACACACACACACACACAAACAAACACAAAAAGAGCATTTTGTAACCATGGAGATGAAAGGCCCCCTGCCATTAGCCACAACAACATGCACTTTAATTACAAACAGAACATCCAACACAACCTTTCACATTATTTGTTCAGCAACAAGAAAGAAAGTGATCAGCTATTTAATTAGTTCAAAATTCTGTTTTTAAGTCAAACTGACTTTACGGTAAATTTGTAAAGATTTGCACTGAATTGAGAGCACAAAGCAACAGGTGTCCACTCAGTGAAGAGCGCTTTGGTAACTAGGGAAGGCAGTAAGACAGCCAGACAACGTTTGGATGAAGCCATAAACAAAGTCTGGCTCGTCACAATGTGAGTTTACTGGAAACAGCCTCTATAAGCAGCATTATTTCTTTCATGTCACACTCAGAACTTGAAACAGCTCTGCTAACCTGTTTTCTCGTCCGTGTCTTTCCCGTTCTGAGTTTGATGTATCTGGCGATTAATTCATTACGACCTGTAAGAGAAAAAAATATATATACCTGTTAATGGACAGTAATATTATATAACCTTTATTTAAATTTTTAAACAAATTATTTCAGTGACTTCACACTGATTCATTGTTCTGCTTTAGTTTGCTGCAAAACTTTAGTATTTAAGGTTACACCAGTATACCAATATTTACGACTATAAATGTATATTAAATACACAGACACATGAAGAATTAGCTGAACTATTATACAACCCAAACTAGGTCTGTCAATTGATTAAAGCTTTTAATTTTCCAGATTAATTGTTTTTATATATAATAACCACAATTAATGGCTTACATGAAATGTATGTATATGAAATTTATTGATTATTCAAATACAATATTACAATATTGTGGCAGACGAATAAAACGTTGAATAGACTAAAAGTGGCTCAGAAGTCAATATATTGTTTGTTATATTTTCATATCATTTAACATTAGCCTCAATGTCCTACAACTCATAGTAATTAATATTCAATAAAATTTGAAGTTAAATTTAATTGCACTAAATTAACATTAAACAATGCAATTTAAATGATATGGCAGAGGCAAGGATTATCAGTGCATAACTTTATTGTTTATTCCTCATATATTAAATTAAATACTTGATTTTAAAAAAGAGTTAATCAAATATACATTGATATAGCAAGATTATCGTGTAACATTAGTCAGTCACTGGCCTTCAACGCACCAAAATTAAATTAAACTAATTATTATTTTAGGTTAAATTTAATTAGTTCATTTTAAAAAATGATTAATTGCACTAAATTAACATCAAAAATGCAAATTAAATGATATGGCATAGGCAAAGATTATCAGTGCATAACAACTTTATTGTCTATTCTTCATATAATAAATTAAATAGTTGATTTAAAAAAATAATTAATCATAGTAAATTAACATTGATATGGGAAGATTAATTATCAGTGTAACATTAGCCAGTCACTGGCTTACAACCCACAGTAAATTAAATTAAATTAATTATAAAATAAAATAAAATAAAAATGCAATTTAAATAATATGGCAGAGGCAAAGATTATCAGCGCATAACTTTATTGTCTGTTCCTCATATAATACTATGATACTGAAAGAACACTTGAAAGATGGAGCTATGAAAGTATAAAGTAAATATGAACTACTGAGCTTATAGTGCTTTTAGAAGCTTGACAGTCTCTAGTCACAATGTATTTTCATTATATGGAAAACAGCAGTGTGAACCTTCCTCAAAACATCTTTTGTGTTTCATGGAAAAAAGGAATGTCATGAAGGTGAGTACATTATTTCATTTTGAACTAGTCCTTTAAGGACAATATCTGACGGTCAGCCAACAAACAGCGTCAGGGTATTTTCTCCAGCTAGCCCTTACCCAACGTGCCTGCAGTGTAATCTCTTCTAACCCAGACCTGGGCCTCCCTATTCTTCCAAACACAAACACACACACACACACACACACACACACACACACACACACACACACGCTCTGTGCGTTCACAATGCGGGCATTCATGCACACTCCGCTCTCAGATCAAAGACACTCCAAACGGCCAGCTGTAAGCATGCTTACTGCTGCATAATTCATTCTTTTCAGTCACTTGAAAACATGCTCAGCTGGACTTGGCAAACCTGCAAAACAACCTCCAGAGAGAAAGGGGACTTACAGGGACAGAGAAAGAGAGAGCCTGTCGACGAGTGCTGAGTTTTGAGAGTCTCCCCTGTGGAGTTTGGTAGACAAACCAAAGCATAAACTGATCAAAGAGACTAGCTGACTCTCAACAAGAGTTCAGATAAACAACACCATCATCACAGAATTACTGAATGACAGCTACAGCTGATTATTACTCAACACTCCCTGGTGATAATATGAGCTATTATAAAATAATAATGAAAGAAAAGATATATATATATAAATATATATTTGTATGTATGTATGTGTTATAAAATTATATTTCTTTAATTCTCTCTCTCTCTCTCTGTACACACACACAAACACACTCACAGTGTTATTTATTTATTTCATTTTATTTTTTAATAACACAAAAGGGAAATGCATATATAGATTTTTAATTACATATTACATATAAATTATATTAATATTATAACTAATATAAAAATATATTAATAAAAATAATGATTGAATAATAATAATCATTATTATTATTTTTAACAATAATAAATAATAATATATTAATGTTAATAAATAATCAATATTAATATTACAATAGTAATTATATAATATATAAATAACATACATGTATACAATATTTTTACATTATATAATACATATAGTCTATTAATACATTAATATTACACTAATTGTATATATTTAAAGTATATTTTATATTATATATGGTAATGTTTTATTTTTGCAATTAAAAGCGAGCTGATAAATGGACCTCACACTGATGAAGGGTTAACCTCAGCATGTCTTCAGAGGGCAAAGATGCCGCCAAAAATGGGGCTCGTCAATCATTGTGCGCTAAAAGCTTTCTCTGCCGTCAGTCTCTTCCAGCAAACTAAATGAAAGCATATGATTTATGCTGTGATATCCAAACCTGAATTTTTCAATGTCTAACAGGGACAACTGACTCAAAAATGAGATTTCTGTCAGCATTTACTCACTCTAATGTCATTGCAAACCTGTATGTCTTACATTTTGCCATGTTTCTTACACAAATCTATCATATGGCTTCAGAAAACTTGGAATATAGTGCATGTTTTATATAGTGAGAAGAATAGTGTAGATGCTTCATGTTTTTGTGTCCTTTTTGAAGCTTTAAAACATTGATGGCAGTCTCCAAAATTTTTCTTTTGTGTCCTGTAGGAAAAGAAAAGTTGGTTTGAAATGACATGAGGGTAAGTGATGACCAGTGAAGTTTCATTTTTGGGTGAACTGTCCCTTTAAGCCGTGATAATACAGTAAAATTGATTTAACTCATGGCCAACCCTATTTGTTCTTTGTTTTGTTTTCAGATAACACTAACTCGAGTCTCCATTCTCTGTGCTGAAGAGACTTTAGACTGCAAGGGTGACGTCAGAAGCTGAGACATGTGGTTCACTCACTCAAGTTCATCATATGGCAATCATCTTGTCAAATAAAATATCTCTCAGAAAAGTGATTAAATCAGATAAAAGCATTTGGTTCACCTCACAAATCTTTGAAAAGCTTTGAGCGTTTGAAATGACCCACAAGTATCGGGGTGTTGGTCTCAGGGCAGGACAGAAACCCAGAGTCTTTGGGACAATGGCTCTGCTGCTCTGCCGGGCCTGATGGATGACTCTGAGCCGAGGTCTCGGGCTGCTATTAGAATCACAATAGCCTAAACTAACAATCCAAAGACTTTCTGCAGGGGCTCCATGACTAAGGAATGACGAGTCCAAACTGAGACTGCAATATTCATAGCTGATTTCCATGGGCATCATAGAGATCAATAATTTATCAGTAGGTTTACATTATATTTTAAGCAACAGAATACAACAATAAAGAATGATGATAGATATAATTTTCAATAATATTATAATCACAAAAACAGGCTTGAAATAATTCATTTTGCATAAAAATTTTAAAAGCATCTCTAATTTATATTGTTATATAAGAATTATATATTTCTGTATTTTTGTCATTGTTTATTGTTTACTTGTATTTTTGTGACATTTGTGACAGTAAATAATAATAATAATATATTTATTGTTATTATTATTATTATTATTATAGAAAGTTTATGCCATATTTTGTGACATTATAATATTAAAAATAACAACAACAACAGCAACAATAATCGTAATAATAATAAAAAAATATATAGTTAATTATTAGGGGTTGCACCGACTAATTGACTAGTCGACTTTAATGCTCTGCCATGACACTTTAAGCTTGACGTCGACTAGTCGCTGGTCCTATAGAGGGCGCAACAGGATAAGAAATCTTTGATGGACTTCCACATTTACGCATCGTTTCCAAACAGTTAAAATGACAAATAAATGCATACTCTGAAAGCGCTCCACAAGACGTGTGATTATATTACTGGATGCTCGAAATTGAACAGGAGAATGAACTTTTTAAACAGCTTATTGTACAGGTAAGTTAATCGCCGTTCTAATTTAATGTGCTGCTGCACTGTAATGCACACACATAGGCTACAGACAGTAGCGCGTACATCACGCGCACAGAATCATTCAGTGCGGAAATGTATTGTCAACACTGTTCTGTGATTTCTCAATAAAAAAGCTTAGAAACTGAAAAGTTCAAGCATATATTTCTTAATAACTAAATCCCACAGCTTCACTACTAGTAGAGAGACGCTGCCAGGTAGAATTAATTCACACACGCAGTCGCTCTCACTAATGCATTCATATTAATGTAATCTTTACTGTGCTACTTTATCTGTATCCGATTTAGAACGAGCAGACATCTGTGGGACATATA